GCACACACGGACACACAGACACACACACAGACAACCTCTCGTCAATATGCGTTTTTCGCACTGCATCGCTGCAAAAAACGCGTAAAAAATGCGGAAAACAGCTAGAGAACGCAAAACTTAACTTTGGCAAATAAAAAAAATTGATTCAAAAACTTAGCCATACAGACGAAAATTTTGCCAAAATCCCTGAAAACCAGCCCGAAATAAAATACACCCTTCCCCTCCCTTCTCACTTTCGGGCCAATCCAAAGATGAGCTTAGTAGCGACCTAGCTCTAAAACATGGAAATGGGTCACATTCGAGCAAATGATTCAAAAATAAGTTCTTTCGAAGATGAAATTCAGAGAAAATTTCGAGCAAGAATCACGGGAGCTGAAATGGCAACCTAAAAAGCACCCTAAAAACCATATCCCTTCCACTAACCTGGAAGTTATACATGCATTGTGTTCACATGTATTTCGAAAGATCGTAGAAATCCCTTGATCAAAAAGGTTAGAAATTACAAAAAAGACTTTTGATACACTTTTATTCTCCTTTGTTCCCCTTGTCTTGCTTATTGGAATCTCTTTTGCTTATATGGCGAGTAGGAAGCTCATCTCTAATCGCATCCGTACTCTGTCTGTGTTTAAAGCTAAAAGATGAAATACAGAACGCAAATTTACCTAATCCATTGGAATATGAAATTTTCAAATAATCTTACTAGGTATACCAAAAATCAAGATAATCCACACTGTAGCAGCAGATGTTAAGAAAAATGTGAGCATCGAAATTCGATTAACCTGAAAATGCCCTGTGGTAGACCAATACCCCATCCGACCGTATTATATTCCATATATTTTTGCCAAGTCTCCGAGTCATTGTTTTTTAACTTTTCCAGGATGGAATTCATTGATGTTGCATTTAGTGATTCTGAAAATTACAATCTGTTGAAGTGTTTTATATAGGTTTGTTTATTTAAAGCTTTTATACTACTTATACTATTTTGTTACTGACATATGCCAGGAAGTCAAACTCATCATCAGCTTGTTCCTAAGCAACCCAAGAAAAATGGAGCCACTGATGGTCCTGCTAGCGAGTGG